AGGAGTCTGATGGGCTCCCTGCAGTTGTCACATGGAGAAAGGCATGCCTGCCCCTCCGAGCCGTGGGAGCTGGACGCCATGCATAGCTAAGTGCCTGGCACAGCCCCTGCCACGTGGCAGGAGCTTGGTAATGACAGTAATGCAATGCTTGTTGATGGGAAGCAGCTCGGCCAGCGTGGCCGTGCCACCCACAGGACTCTGCAGGATTCCCACTCAGTCGGAAGGACGGAAGGATGTGTCCTGTGCAGGTGGCCGTGGGCAGGGTGGTTGGGGTGCCCCCCCCCCCCAGCCTTCCGCTTGTCCCCAGGCTGGTGGAGGAACTCTGACACCGAGGCTTCTCTTCCTAAGGCCTGTTTCCTGCATGATTCCTCTCTCTGTGTCCTGCAAGCGATGCTTCCACGTGCTGGGAACCAGCACTGGAGCCGAGTCCGGGTTCCGACTTCTCGGTGACGTGTGCTGTAGCGGAACCAGCCGCGTTGCAGTTAGCCGCCTGGACGGGCAGGGACGATGGGCAGTCCAGGGGTTGAGAAGGTGGACATGGGGCAGACATACTTGTCTAATCCCATCTTGTCACGTTGCCTGCTCCTGGGCAAGCTGTATCCTCAGCTGCCAAATAAGAATCGTTGTGTCTGTGTTTCACTTAATCCTTTTGTGAGCATTTGGGAGCTGGGGGAGCTTCCAGATAAGACCTCCCCGAGCTCCTCTCTGAGGGTGGGATCCCATCCTGCCTGCACTATGGTTATTTGTACCCTTACTTTACCTCCCCGGCTGAAAGAAGCACTAAAAGCAGACAGCTCCCGGCCGGCCCCTGTGGGTGGGGTCTTGGGCCAGGCCCTCTGGGACTCGGACCTGCTTTACCTGCGCAGCCTGGCCTGTCCTGAGGATCTTGCCTGCATTTCTCACACGTGCACACAGGAGGGTCCCTCTACCTGGAATGCCCCCTCCCCAGACTTGCCTCCTCAGGGAGCAGTTAGCACGACTGCAGAATTTCCAGAACGTAAACATGCTTTTGCAAGTGCCCGGTAACTGTGGCAGCTGCCCACGGTCACGGCTGGGTGAGTGGATGATGTTCTGAAAGAAACAGAAATCCCTCAGTGTGACGATGGCGGCCAGCACGGGTCCGGTCGCACGGACGTGTGCCTGGGCGGCCAGCTGTTTTCCCTCCCAGTTGCTGATGCGCACCCTCTGGCCCGCTGCTGAGGCCACCCAACGGCGTGGGAGGAAAGTGATTAGAGGAACTTCAGCTGCCTGGCTCCCTCTGAATGGCCCTTTCATCAGGATGTGCAGGGACAAGGGCCTTTTTCAACCCAAATATCAGGGGGAGACGAGAGTGCCACCAGAGCCATTTGCTCTCTGGGCGGGAGCATCGTCCGAGGCCGAGGACTCCTCGCCGAAGGACACCAGCCTCTTCCTCACCTGCCTGCCTTCTCCTGGGGCGTGGGAGGCAGGAGCTCGAGGTCACTAACCATGTGATCACCACCGTCATGAAGCTTTTTTGTTTTACCGATTTCTGCGTCTTTCTTCAGGCACCTCCTTACTTCTGCTCTTCAGAGGTTTCCAGCCCAAATTAGTACGTACCCCTGCTGGTCTCGGTTCTCCTGCCCCGGCTGGGTGATGGGATGAGTGGCTGCTGATGCTCTGAGGGCTGGGGTTTTCTTGAGGAGCAGCGATTGAGGTTTTTCTCTCCGTCTTCAGTGCCTTGTAGAGACTTTAATCTCACGGCGGCGGCCGAAGCGGCAGGAGCCAGTGTCTGAGAACATGTTTGTCCCGTGGAGATAACAGCGTTGGGGGTGGGGGTCGGGAGGGCAGGGGCTGGCTTTGTTGTTACTTCAAGATTTTCCTTACAGCGACGGAGGGAAACAGTTCAGTTTTGTTTGTCTGGGTCTGACCTTCTGGAACTTGAGTGGCTCTTTTTAGGACGCCAGCATCTTTGAGGAGATGCAGGTTTTCTGTAGCCGGGATGGGTGGTTGGTGGGTTTGTGCTGCCTGCCCCGAGTACCCAGGAAGGAGTGTGCCATGGCCAAAGTGGGTTTGTTACAGGGCCTCCTTCCCCAGAGGGGCGCCTGGAGACCCATGAATCGGGGTACGCTGCCTCTGGGTCTTAGCGGCCCGGCAGAGACCCCCGACGGCGCCCTGGCGGTGGGAAACAGTGTTCGCAGCAGCCACGCAGAGGGCGCCTAGGCTCTGGGCCTGCAGTGAGCTCGGCACAGAAGCCGGGAAACAGGGTGGGAGAAATATCTGTGTCTTGTTTTCCTGATCCTGTGACTGCCTGGCTGTGCGGCCTCTTGGCCCCGAGAGTGATCTTGTGCGGCCATCCTCGTGCTGTGTCCTCTCGCCGTCTCCCAGGCGCAGGCGAGGGCGCAGGGCTGCCTGCAGCTTCCAGTCTCCTTCTCTCCAGTACACGCCTGCGACGAATGGCGGGAGGAGGACAGGGTCCCATACAGGCAGCTACCCCTACACCCTCCCCCACCCCCCACCCCCAGCTTCACGTGTGGATGGGAGGCCCTGGTTCTTTATCAGTCTCGGGGACCCTGAGGAACAACTGGCCTAGTCAGCGATCACAGGATAAAACCAGCCTATTCTTTTGCATTGTTCCCCTTTTTTTCCAAAGGAAGTGTGAGGGAAACCAAGGGGAATTTTTGCCCGTGATTTCCAAGGCAAAGGTCACGGTTCATGGCTGGCTGTTTCCAGAGCGCATGGGGTTTGGGTCAGTGTGGATTTTTGTTTTTCTGGGGTTGTTTTTGTGTTGTTGTTTTTAACCCATGAACAAAAGAGGCTGATGTTGCCTTGAAAAAAAATTTCCCCAGCTGCTGCGATGAACTGGTGGCTGCGTTTCTTTCGTGGGTTTTGGGGTCCCTTGGGCAGCTCTTCCAGATTTCACTGAGAATCAGTAGTGAGTGATCTGTGTCTGAAACAGAGCAGTTCTGAAAACAAAGTTGCTTGTGAAATGTTAAGGAAGGAGAAGGTGACAAATGAGAAGGGTGATGGAAGAGTGCTGGGTGACTCTGCCGCCTGCTAAAATATGACAACCTGGACTTCAGGTGGGCCAGGTGGGTGCTAGAGAGCCTCTTGCCTCCCATGGGTGAGAGCGGGACGGCAAAGGGAAGGGTGCCTCTCATTTCCTCCATCATTTAGAATCCTGGGCTCCTCAGCACTTGTCCCTGGCAGCACACATATATGACGAATAGGTGGGAAGGATGGCCTGGCAGTACATTCACGGTCATAAATAAAGAAGTTGTACAGATGTACAGTATTGGTGTTACAAAATCTGTAAAGCCAGTTATCAGCAATTCAGAGGCCCAAGTAAGAGGCAGACGGAGCCTTCCTATTTGATATTTGAGCAGCCCCTATTTTTAGCATGGGAATTCAACCAGGAGAACCAGCAGATAGGATTGTGGGCTTGCGTTCTAGGAGATAACCGTGTCTGATTCCAGGATCCGCTGGCTGACTTGCTAGTTTGTGTGGTGAGTTTTCTTAGCACCTAGAGTTACTTGTTAGACGTAGCTGACTTTCTTATTCCAGGATTAGAAGGTTTACTCACAGTGGATGTCTGGGGCAGAGGGGATCTTGCTTTCTTATGTTACCGAAGACATTGTTGTGTTTCTATCAGGAACTGATTTGCTCTCTGTTCAAACAAAAAAAGTGCCGCATTTTCTTAAGAGATTTTCCTTTCACATCATTTATATATTAATTGGTTGCTCAAGAGAGAATTGATCATTTTTACAGTTTCCTAACATTTAAACTAAAATTTGTGATCTTTCATAAAATTAATAAAAATAAAATGTTTTTTTTTCATGATAACGTGTTGTACATGTTTTCTATTACTTATGAAAGTCAAACAAAAATAATCATTTAAAAGAGTTAATATTTGCTCAGTGTAGAAGATTTGGAAGATACTAAGAGGTAGAAGATAATCATAAGTAGTCCAACCCCTCAAAAAACAGTTAATAATTTGGGAGTATTTTTTGGGTAGTTTTCAGAGTTGACTATTTTTGAATAATTGGAAATAATTAACAGATAATGCAGCCTACCACTTTATGCAGTTTTAATTTCTGCATAAGCTAAAGATTTTTTTTAGAGCATTTGGAAACCTTGAAAACGTTTTAATTGCAAATTATTAAGTTATAGGTTGAATGTGAATGTTTTTGGTAGTTAAAATAACAAGAGACCAAAGGTTCATTCTGCTGAGAAATTCATTGGGTCGACTGGAGGTTTTCTGCAGCAACAGTGGGCACAGCACCCTTGACTCAGTTAAACCCCAGGTCAGCAGCCACTCAGCTTCTCTCAGATGCAAACACACAGCGACAGTGTCCCTTCCTCTCCCTTGGCTTCCATCAGAGGAAGGCCGCAAGGAGCAGTGAAGCTGTTAGGAGACACGGAGTTAGAAGCAGGTCAGCAGCAAGACTACGAGAGATGCACCGCCTGCCCTCAGCAGAGGGTCGGGCCCTGTTTCTAGAGGCTGTTGTATCACAGTGAGATCCCTCACAGTGTCCTGCAGGAGGGGGCTCTCGGCCCGGCAGAGCCCACGTGGAACCGGAGAACCTGGGTGTTTGAGCGGAAGCGTCGTTTCCGCACGCGCACTCTCCACGGCAAGCTTGTAGCACAGAGCCGGGAAGGCAGCTCTGCGAAATGCTTCCAGAAGCTCTGTTATCCCACTTGAGCGCTACGTGCTCTCGGTCCGCACCCCAGCTCTTCAACTCTATAGCACAGTGGTTCTCAACCTTCCTAATGCCTCGACCCTTTAATACAGTTCCTCATGTTGTGGTGACCCCCAATTTCATTGTTACAAATTGAACATAATTAAAGCATAGTGATTAATCACAAAAACAATATGTAATTATATGTGTGTTTTCCGATGGTCTTAGGCGACCCCTGTGAAAGGGTCGTTCGACCCCCAAAGGGGCTGCGACCCACAGGTTGAGAACCGCTGCTGTAGCATGTCTTTGCCCGTTTCCCTCTCTGAGGCCCAGCCTAACCTGCTCCGGTTTCATCCTTCCCAGCTTAAGTGAGAGCTTTTTCATGGTGAAAGGAGCAGCCCTCTTCTTGCAACAGGGAAGCAGCCCTCAAGGCCAGCGAAGCCTGCAGCATCCCCACAAGCACGCGGGTGAGTCGATGCTCTTCCATGGGAACGCGTTTTCTCTGCCGCGGGAGGGACCCCGGTTCCTGGTGGTGAGCCACGCGCGTTGGATTTCAAGGCCAGAGAAATAGTGGGACCAGGGCTGTGACGACGGGTACAGGGGGAAGCCCTTCTGCGCAGGCCGGCCAGGCGTGGTTCCCAGGCGGCGCCGGGAGCAAGCAGCCCTTCTGAGCCTGGTGTCTACCTGACGAGTGAGGGGTCGGCAGCACTGGGTTTGGGTGTAAAGATGCCCTACTTACAGTTTATCAGGTAGCTGCATATTTTCAGTTGAAGTAGGGCTTTCTAAACAAACGCACCAGAATACGCTATAGTCAGGGGTTGTGCCCTTGAAACAGCCACCTTGGGGTGCTCTATATGTAGTCTGGGGATGCTGTCACTTCCCCGAGCATTTGGAAAACTCATTTGGAGAATTTCTTTCTCTCCACGCCCCGCCCCCCCCCCACCACCACCACACATACATACATTCTCTATAATACCAAAAGAAGAAAAAATCTATTTTTATAAAAGACAGTGGAATGAAAAAATAGTAATTATTAAACTTTGCCAAGACAAAGTTCAGTGACACATCTGGCGTGAGCACCTGACAGCCTGCCTAGCCTTGTTAAGCAACATGTGTCCAGACTGTGTATCCTTCCCCCGTTTCTTGCACCCCAGAGCTGGGAAAAGAGGATACCCAGAGTAGAACGAGTGAGATCTTCATCTATTTAGCCAGGGGCCAAGGGAACCCCAGCCCAACAGAGAGAGAGATTCTTAACTGGTCTTCAAGTAGAACGAAGCCACGACGCTGGTTGTCTCTAGGTGTTGATAACGTTTTTTTAATGCTAGTTTCCAAACTTTCTGTAACAGGATGTGTTACTTTCACACGGCAAAGAGAGCTCCAGCCAGCCTCGTTAGGGGAATGTCTTTACGAGCCCTTGGCACGCACTGAGATGGAAAGTCTTTATCTTTTAATGGTCGATTTGGTTTGAGGAAATAGGGAAGTGGTAGTGTAGGGAATCAAACCGAGTATTAATTTAGGTTCAAACGCAAGCCAGTAAGGAATGCCTATAAAGTAAATACACTGGTATTCTCTGGTGATTAACTCTGAAACCAAAGGCAGTTTGAAAAGAAGACTCACGAAAACGTACTTGTGGGTAGCGCTCCCGGGCCTTCTGGGACGGGCAGCACACGTTGAATGTCAGCTGGAAAGACGCTGACCCTGAACAGCAGGTGAAAGCAGCTAGCCATTGGGGCCAGCGTTCCCGTCGCTGTGATCATTTTGTTTGTCTAACCTCAAGTCCCCCAGCTTCATTTTGGATCTGAGTGCTGGGGTTAGAATTTTGTATCTTACAATTGAAAGCAAACACCAAGGCTCAATCAATATTTTCACATAATGATATTTGTCATCAAGATTTAAGTCTATCTTAAGACAGGACAACAATTGTTCTACACAAGGAGGCAGTATGGTGTGGGGAAAGGACCTGGCTTCTGATCCCAGTTCTGGAACTGACTGTGTTGTCATGGTCAACCTCTGAGCCTCAGTTTCCTGATCTTTAAAATGGGCATCACATACCAGTACCTTGGAGGTTATGGAATTTAAAATTTACGCAGGTAACATGTTTACCTCCTCGTAGGTGCTCAGTGTATGGTCGCTATAATGATTACTTGCGGTGACTTCTAGTACAATAAAGCTATAAACAGAACCTTTATTTTTGAATTTGCTATCGGTTTTGCTCTGATAGGAACTGAACCATTGTTAATGTCTTAACAGTAATACGTATAGCCAAGCAAATGCTCAAGCTTTGCTCACTCTGTATAAAACGTGTCCTTTCTCTAAATCAGACGGCATTTTCCTACTGTGTGAACTTGATTTGTTGGTCCGATAGGTGACTTGCCCCAACATCTGCAAGTGATGATCAACCTTCTGCGTTGTGAAGATAGAATCAAGCTGGTAAGAAGAGACGAGAGTGGCAAGTTTTAATTTTTAATTGTGAAATTTGGTAGTGAGTTTTTATATTTTAGCAAATTCTCCCCAATTGTTCACAAAAGCCAACGTGGAGTTTGCTCCTCGGTGCCCAGAGGGTCCGGCGAAAGGATGTAGGGGGTCTCTGTCAGTCTATCAGTCTGTGCTGAGTCAGCATCTTCAGTGTCTGGATTTTATTATTCACCCATTTAACACACTTGGGGAGCCCCCCCCCCACGTCAGACACTGTCCCTCGTGTTGGGGTATAAATGAGATGCGGCTCCTATGCCTGAGAATCTCACCTTAAAGCCTAAACTCACAGGGAAAGGTAGGCAGCAGATGTCCTTGACCTTGGTTGGGCGGAGGAAGGGGGCACGACCCGGGAGGGCGGGCCGTGAAAGCCTCTCTGCCCTGCAGGCCGTGCGCCTGGAGAGCGCCTGGGCGGAGCGGGTCCGGTACATGGTGGTGGTGGACAGCAGCGGGCGCCAGGACACGGAGGAGAGCATCTTGCTGGGCGTCGACTTTTCCAGCAAGGAGAGGTGAGTCTGATGGGACAAGAGTTGCTGCTGGAAAAAGAGTCCTGTGGCCCTGTATCCTTGGGGGTTTACGGTGGGATGCACGATGGTGGGTGGCGGGGTGACCAGGAACAGCAGGGCACGGCATTTCCGCTCTTGTGTGCGGCGCTCTGCCAGCTCCAGTCTCTGCTCTGAGCTCAGGGTCTCCTGAGAGGAAAGAAAGCGACACTGTGCTTGGAGGTCTAACACTGGGTGCCATCAGGGTGCTGGAGACGAGGGCACTTAGCCAGGAGGGCTTCCTGGAGGAGGTGACGGCGGTGAACACCCAGTCAGTGCAGGAGCCAGCCCAGTGAGGAGGGAGGACGCCTTCCAGGCAGCCGGACCTGCTTGAGAAGCGTGGGCTCGATAGGCAGCGTGTCGAGGGCCTTATCCAGTGTTGCTGTCCCACCGATTCCCAAACTGGGAGACGGTCCTGGGTCAGAGGCTCAGAGAGGTTTGGAATTTCCCAATAACTAGAGGCCACGTTCGTTGTATCATCGGCCCTATTATTTGTGTGAAATGAAGGCGAGTGGCTCTTCTTACATCCAGGATAAGTTAATACATGTGAGATCATTGCAAAGCCTGGGTTTGTTAAAACTAGATGAAATGGGCTCCCCTTAGTCATCATTCATTAATCTACTCATTCATTAAGCAAACAGTTTGCATTCTCCTGTGTATGAGGCAACAGGCAAGGCCCAGGTAAACAAAGCAGCAGCAGGACACACCGTTCTTGACCTCAGAGAGCCTGTGAGCTCAGTGAAGAAGAGCCGTCATCAGATGCTGGGGTGGTGGCTCAGGGATGCAGAGATGTGCGGGGCGGGGCGGGGGGTGGGTCGTGGGAGCACAGGAGAGGGGTGGGTGTAGAGGGGCCATGCCAAAGGCCCCTGGAACACGCAGTGGCTAAACCAGGTCTCAAAGGACGAGCGGGCAGTTGGGCAAGTCCAGGGGAAGGGACGTGTCGGTCTGGGGCTCTGAGGGGTCCCCTCCTTGCCTCGCCCCAGCACTGTCACAGCCGAGAAGTTCCAGGAGCTCTGGGTCTCAGCACAAGTTTTACTTTGCAGCTCTGCAAAGGAAGTGTAATTAGCCCATCGAGGACGGGGAGGACTGCAGGGTGGGACGAGAATCGGCCTAACACGAAAGGCCGGAAGAGTCCGGCAGGGGCAGGGTCGCAGATGCCCGGAGGGAGAGCTGCCCTGTGAGCGCAGGGCTCCCTGTCTGCACGGTCGCGCGCTCGTCTCATTACTCCCTGGGCGGGCTGCTAAGTGGCAGCAGAGATGTAAGCTGGAGATCCCTGGAGGTTGTGGAGCTGGTCTTGGCACAGTCACAGCGGCTCCTCACAGCCGACTCCTTCAGATTCCTGAAGAATGTTCCTAAGAATCCGAGGAGCCCCCGTGATAAGCCCTTTGGTTCCCCCGGCGTGCTCCTGCGGCGCCAGTCTCTCGAGTATCATTTCACCGTGAGGATGGGCAAAACAAAAGCAGATTAAGCTGGTTCTGAAACAGCAGCTGCACAAAAGGTAGAGAAACAGAGGTCTGGCACCGAACTCCGGTAATGGTGTTGGCACACTGCCCTCCCCCCTCGCCCCAGGACCGGAGCCTGGGTTGGCTGCCTCCTCTCGTCTGTGTCCCCCCGAGTGCGCATGGCTTCAGGCCAGGAGTGCGCCAGCCATCGGCTTCACCCCTGCTGCAGTGAGGTCGTGTGGCCAGCTGGTTGCTCCTTCTCCCCTGAGAGCTGCAGCTGAGACCTGGTGTTTATGAAGCTGCGACCACATCAAACCGTGGGGTCAGAGTACCCTGTGACTGTCTCCACGCTGGGGTCACCGGCAACTCCCTCTGGTGGGGCCATCGCAGCCCCGTGTCTTCTAGAAGCAGTGGTGAGCAGTCCCTACACACAGCCTACGAGCAGCTCCCAGGTCCACACCCGGGAGCTGGACCCAGCCAGGTCAGGGGCTGGGTGAAGACACAGGGAAGTAGCGTGTAAGCAGGTCACAGGTAAATGTGACTCTAACCCTGGACATCTTCCTTTCCTCCCGCGTAGTAAAAGCTGCACCATTGGGATGGTTCTCCGACTGTGGAGCGACACGAAAATCCACCTCGATGGCGACGGGTAAGCAGTTCTCTTGAAAAGATTTTTTTTTTTCTAAATATATTTCATTGACCTTCTACAGAGAGGAAGGGAGAGGGATAGAGAGAAACATCGATGAGAGAGAAACATCGACCAGCTGCCTCCTGCACACCCCCCACTGGGAATGTGCCCGCAACCAAGACACATGCCCTTGACCGGAATCGAACCTGGGACCTTTCAGTCCGCAGGCCGACGCTCTATCCACTGAGCCAAACCGGTTAGGGCGAAAAGATTCTTTTAATCACTGTAAACTCTGAAACACGAGTTGTGTGGGCATCGTTGGGTAATCATTAGCAAAAGAACCATACGTATGACGTGTCTGTTGCATCAAGAGAAGTACTATTGCCTCCCCCCTCCCCGCCCCAATGAGCCACACGAGGAAAGGGACATCCTGGTCATTGTGTGGGGAGTTTGGGTCATGACGGAGCCACAGAAGCACGTTACAGGAGATCACTGCTGTGTGACGTTCAAGAGCAGCAGTAAGCGGACATTCATTCATTCATGTACCTGTCTTTGGACAATGAATACCCACACTGTGCCCTCCATTTGGGGCTGGTCCCTGAAAGCTCACAGAGAAATGTGACACAGCAGGAGCTCACCATTTTGGGGGTGCAGGGACAACCGACAGGGGGGCTGCAGAGGAGGAATCGTTTAGTTCGTTCTGGGCAGGAAGATGAAAGGGCCATCGGGCTCTTCATACGTGTGCCCCCAGGAGAACACATGGGCTCTGCGAGGGGCGAAAGGAGGCAGGATGGGACCTTGTCTCTGTTGGGATTCCAGCAGTAAAGGTTATGCCGCCTCAGATGGAACGGGGAGAAACAAACATGTGATTTCTTTTCTTTTTTTTTTTAAAATATATTTTATTGATTTTTTTTATAGAGAGGAAGGGAGAGGGATAGAGAGTTAGAAACATCGATCAGCTGCCTCCTGCACATTCCCTACTGGGTATGTGCCCGCAACCAAGGTACATGCCCTTGACTGGAATCGAACCTGGGACCCTAGAGTCCACAGGCCGACGCTCTATCCACTGAGCCAAACCGGTTAGGGCATGATTTCTTGAAGACTATAGAATTATAGTAATGTTTTCCTTTTTTAAATGTTGTCTCCCATTCATATATTTCCCGTGCAATTCCAAAAAAAATATTGATGGGACATAGCAGGTGGGTTGGGCCATTGCAAAGCATGAACGAGACGGGGTCGAATGCTGTCACGGCCTCGCACCCTGTGCCGGGGTTTCCGTTTTGGTAGAGCTCGCGTTGCGGGGTTGAGAACGAGTCTTCCGGGATGGAGAGCCCATCTTCGCCCTCGTCTGATGCAGCCGGCCTGTGGTCCCTCATCAGACAGCATGAGGCAGAGTGTCCCCGGTGGGCCTGCCCCACCGCCTCGCCGTGATGTGGTCGGAGGGGCTGGTTTCTCACCGCGCGCTCTTTTTGTTGTTCACTCAGTGGCTTCAGCGTCAGCACAGCAGGAAGGATGCACGTCTTCAAGCCCGTATCTGTCCAGGCCATGTGGTGAGTGTGGTTTTAGGGACTTTCAGCTCCTTAGAAATAGCTTCCCAGCTGACAGCAGGACTAGAAAACCCCCTGCTAGGGGTTTTAGGTACATTTGCTTTGTACATAGGACAGGCTTTACATGACAAAACTGACCACTTTAACCATTTTTAAGTGTGTGATTTAGCGGCATTAAGTACGTTCACAGTGTTGGACAGCCATCACCACCATCCATCTCCAGAACTTCTCCGTCATCCCAAACAGAAACTCTGTACCCATTAGCCACAAACTCCCCGCCCCCCTTCCTCCAGCCCCTGGTCACCTCTGTTCTCCTCTGTCTCTGCCTGTTCGGGTCCCCCGTATAAGTGGAATCCTTTGTCCCTGCCTCTGGCATCTTGCACTTAGCATCATGCTTTCTGGGTGCATCCATGCTGTAGCATGTGTCAGAATTTCCTTCCTTTTCATGGCTGAATACTACTCCCTGATAGGGCTATACCACGTTTTTTTATCCACTCGTCTGTGGATGGACTTTTGAGTTGTTGCCACCTTTTGGCTATTGTGAGTAGAGCTGCTGTGAATATTGGTGAGCAAAGCATCTGTTTGTGGTTCCTGCTTTCATTTCTTTCAGGTATGTACCTAGAAGTGGACTTTCTAGATCACATGATGATTTTGTGGTTAATTTTTTGAGGAACCACCCAACTGTTTTCCACAGCAGTGGCACCATTTGACAATCCCACCAGCAGTGCACACGGATTTCACTTCCTCCACATCCTAGTTAACACTTGTTCTTTTCTGGTGGTTTTTTTTTTATATATATATATACTAATGGATGTGAAGTGGTTCCTCATTATGGTTTGGTTGCATTTCCCTAATTAATTAATGTTGAGGGTCATTTGATGTGCTTATTGGCCATTTGTATATCTTCTTTGGAAAAATGTCTAGTTTGTCCTCTGGCGACTTTTTAGTTTGGTCGATTTCTGTTGTGGAAGGTGTGTTGTTTTTGCATATGTACGTTCAGTCCCTCCTGACAGATGTCATTCCAGCATGAACTCACCTGCTCATTGTACCTGGCACACAGTAGGCATTCAGTTTGCACCATGAAGGGAAGGGCACTCTGCTAGGCACTGAGCATCTTGGGAGGCGTGAAATGGATGTAATTCCTCTCCGCGTGGAGTTTAAAGTCTGTGGAGGGCGGTGGCCATAAACACAAAACAAAGCCATGTGTTACACCGAGGGGAGCTGGGAGGGCATCCTCACGGGGTGCTGGGCTGGGGGTGGGGGTGCCTTCTACAGCGTGCAGGGGCCTGGGTAGGGTCAGGGCCTCCCAAACATTCTGCTTTAAGGATGAGGTCCCTGTGGGTCAAGGCTGCGTTGGGCAAAATGACTCACGTCCAGAGCTTCCCCGAACCCGGGACACACATCCTAGAGCCTTCTTGCACCACCCACGCATGCAGCAAACTCCGTGGCCGGTCTCGAATAATCTGGAAAAGGCGCAGGAGAAAGCTGGTGGCGCCTGCGAGAAGACGTCTGCCCAGGCTTTTGTCCAGGACAGCGAGAGCTTTGCAGGAGTCTGCCATGGGCTTCGCTGCCATCTCTCCTGCTGCTCACTCTGCAGGCTGTTCAGGATCGTTTGGGGGGAAGTCGTGAGACCATAATTCCCTAGGTGCCCCAGATGTTCTCTGTGTCCCTGGGCAATTTTTTTTATCCCTTTTTCTACAGGCCCACGTGCTTGTCCAAAACTTCAGAACCAGAGCTAGATTTCGTAAACACCCAGCCCAAGTTGGTTCCCTCAACCAGCCTGCAGCCGTGTATCGTCGGGAAAGGCACGCGGACCACCATGGCTTTACCCCATGTTGCGCGTTCTCTGCTGGCTCTCCCTCCACCCAGGGCTGCGCTCTTACACCCTCCCCCACACCTAGCGCACCCATTCGCTGAGAAATGTACCACAATCCTTTTGTTAAAAGAAGTAATACAAGAATGACTAAAGGGACCATTATAACATACATTTTTAATATTGTTCCTTCTGTCCCAGAGCCTTCCCAAACCTCTTCTTCAGTTGGATTCTGCATTAAAATGACTTTCTAGAACTCCTTTCCTTAGGAGATCTAAGCTGTTAAAACATTGATGGGAGGGGTTTAGAAGCTATTAGAAAGCAGTAAAATGTCTCTGCTGCATAGTAATGAGTTCCCTTCCAGCAGCGAGGCTAATTGTCGCTCCTGCGCTTAAGATGCCCACAGCCTCGGAGTCACCTCAATCCTTGGGAGTCCATCAGTGGACTGTAAAGTGGTGTGTGAACCAGCGGGTGGGGAGAATTAGGACGTTTTTGTTTCCTTGCTGGGAAAGGTGAAGGATGTTCTATCTGCTCTCGGGTCAGTGCATGTGTCACGGAGACTAGCCATGTGGCCTGGCAGGCCGGGAGCCCCAGGAGCCAGTCCTGTATGACCTGCCCTTCCCGCCCCGTTTAAAACCCTTTGCTGAGGGGAACACCCAGCACGCCTGTGCCTCCCAGGCCTGACCCTCTGCCCTCCTCACCCCAGGTCCGCCCTGCAGGTCCTTCACAAGGCCTGCGAAGTGGCGCGAAGGCACAACTACTTCCCCGGGGGCGTGGCTCTCCTCTGGGCCACCTACTACGAGAGCTGCATCGGCTCCGAGCAGAGCTGCATCAACGAGTGGAACGCCATGCAGGACCTGGAGTCCACGCGGCCCGACTCCCCGGCCCTGTTTGTCGACAAGTGAGTGCGCTGCCTCCTCACCCCCGCCCACCCCGCCCTGTGCCTGACTCTGTGTCCCCACGATGTCACACCTGCTGTGGTTGCACCACCTCTCCCAGAGTCAGCCTCTCATGCAGGGGTCCCTGACGGGTGGCCTGTGGGTGGCCTATGGAAGGTCTGAGACCACACCTCACTTTCGAAATTATAGACAAACGTGGATGTGAACGCATCTCTGTGCGTCCCAGCCCCCATGCGCCCTGTTGCTCTGTGGCACTGCAGGCTCCTGTGGGAGGGAGCTCTGGACACGGCACAGGACTCTGTCCCTCTCTCCCACCTGCTGAGGACACACACACCCACCAAGACGTTACCTCCGTGGTCCCAGGCCACGTTCTGGTTAGTCCAGGAGCACCGGGGTCTCTATGAACTCCGACCTCAGGCTTCCTGTATAAAGCTCTGCACTTTCCTACTTTCCCTCCAGGCCAACGGAAGGGGCGAGGACCGAGCGCCTCATCAAAGCCAAGCTCCGCAGCATCATGATGAGCCAGGACCTAGAGAACGTGACCTCCAAAGAGGTAAGAGAGCTCTTCCCTTCTCAGCGGGCCCGAGGGCACGGGGCCTCCTTTGTCCTGCTGCCCAGACCCGGCTTCTTTTCCGAGCGGTGCACCGGCTCCCGGAGGCTTTTTCCTGCAGGGCTTGGCGAAAAGAGCGCAGCCTCAGAGTCAGACTCTCGTTCGAACCGAGCCCGCTGTGAGGCTTGGGCAAGTTTCCTGGGCTCCCTGACCCTGTAAGGCCTTTCGTGAGAATCCCATGAGACCCGTAGATTGCACCAGGAAGCAGGTCCTGTGAGCGCCCTCTCCGCCCCACATCGCCTCACCAGCGAGTCGCTAACCCTGGACTGCTTTCCTTCTGCCTTTGCGGTGTCTCTGGGTCACTTTTTCCCCCCCAGTTGCTTTTGGTTCAAGGAATGCAATGCATGGTAATAACAGCTTAACCAAGGTAGATCTAAGAGGTTGAAATGGCTATTTTGAAAAGTTAGATACAATCTTTTTATTTATTAGTAATACACAACATCATATTGTGATACCTTCCAAAGCAAGATGAAACTGATTTGGGGTTTGCACTGTGAAGTGTTTGATATTTATTTGTAAAGATATAAGTGCTTTCAACTCAGAAAAGATCCCCTAGGAGTCAGATTCCCTGTGTGAAATAACAAACTACCCCCCGTGTCAGGTTTACTGTGAGGCCGAGCAGCCTGCATTCCCACCACTCACGCCCGTGCGCCGCTCGGCACAAAAAATGCAAAAAAAACCACCTTTTTGGCAAACAGCCTCAGTTTGCATTGTGACTGTACTTCTCTGGACGGTGACAACTGTTTTCTTCAGCAAATCGCTTTTCCTAATTTCCCCCACTCCACAGATCCGGAACGAATTGGAGAAACAGATGAACTGTAACTTGAAAGAATTCAAGGAATTCATAGACAACGAGATGCTCCTTATCCTGGGACAGATGGACAAGCCCTCCCTCATCTTCGACCACCTTTACCTCGTAAGAGGCTCAGCCCACGCCGGGGTCTGGCTTGGGGAACATAAATCTGACCTTGGTTGTTTAGAGCAGGTCAGAGAGGGGGAAACTCGAATTACTGGAGCTTCAATCCTGACTTTCACAGGAACGCCCCCCTCCTCTGGCTGCAGCCTCGTGGTTTGCTCTCCAGCCCGAAGCTTGCGATGTTGCCACAGCTGGGCTGTGCGGGGCGG